TACACTCCAATATTGATTAAAGTAAAAAAAATGCCATAAGCAGGTGGGAGTTATGTTGCTTAAAGTCAACAATGCAACAACCCAGTGCATTTCTTCATGTACAGTCCTTCAGCTTCAAAATGCATGTTTGAAGTTGGACAAACTTTTAACACAGTTTTCTCGGTTTCAAATTTTTGCGTGAATAAACCATACAATGCTGGGCCCTCAATTGCTCCTTAAAAATGTTATTACTATTTTAGGCGATGATTGTGGTAAAAAAAAAATTCTAAAAGGTCATTATGAAACTAATGGGTTACATATACTGTCCTGTATTTTAACCTAAATTTGGTATGCTAAGCTTCCTACAAAGAGTTTATGATAACACTGTAATTCAGATTTGTCTTTACTACACAGGAATTTACCCTAATTATTTTGATCACATTATGTACCACAAACACAACTTTATTTAGGCTACTTAACTGTTTTACAATACAGTACAGTACAGTACTGTACACTGTACTTGAAAATGTTCTTATTTGTCAGGAGATGAGTACAGTGCAGTAATGCATAGCTTTTGGTTGCTTAGCTAGTGTCAGCAGCATGTTAAGTAACACCATTAAGTAGGTCATCTTTTTATTAACCTTTACTTCCATACTTAGGGTTATGGTACCATCTGATGAAAAAGTTATTTCACTGTACAGTGTCTTCAGATTCCTGCTTTTTAAATTCCCTCAAATTATGTATACTGTATATGTTATTCATGAACTAATGAAGTTCTCCCAAGCATTGCAAGTTTTCTTTTAATTACAGTACATATGTATAAGTATTTGGTTGAAATTGGAACTGGCCATGGTTTCTGTGTGGTGTATCCAGCTTCAAAAGCATGTGATAATTATGGAAGTGAATTCAATTAAAGAATGGGCTTCCAAGCATCAGTACAGTGTAATTTATTTCATTTGCTGCCTTAAACTCCTCAGAATGACAATCTATTTTTCAGAAATGAAGTGAAAGATATACCGGTAATGTGAATATAATACAGTATATATATACTGTACTTTGACATATTCCTTTAAAATTTATCCAAAATTTTCTCACTTTAAAATAGTTTGTTTAAAAAAAGTTTATGTACACGTACTGTACTTTTATGTGTGTGTGTGTGTGATTCTCTTTAAATTGCTTCATGTTATTGTTCGTCAAAGAAAAAATAAAACTGTTTTACAGCTAGTACGGGTATTGTATTATACCTGTAAAGCATGTAAGTGATATGGTTCATTTTAGCTCTCTTTGATGAAAGGTCCATTTTAATGCATTTAAATTTTGTAAGAGTTACATATTTTGTATTTTCCTGATTCCTTAATCAAGTGAAATACTATTGAATTTAACTTTAGTAAGAATACTATTTTGTACTGTACTTGCATACGTTTCTTTACTCAAATGGATACAGTACTGTACAAGTCAAAACAGGAACATAGATTTTAGGACTTTTACTGTACCACCATTAGATTTTGAAGAACTTTTTGAATAGCGTTTAGACAAAAATGTGAGGGTTTTGAATGTTGATATTTTTATATATCAATTTTTTTTAATATTTCAATAGAGTAATAGAGTTGGTAGTGCCTACTTTAATTTTCAAAATACTTGTACTGTACAACATTTGTTGTTCTCATGACATTTTCGGTAAGGAGGTGTGTTATTTCTAACCAGACATATATTAAGATTGATCAAAGACTTTAAAAGATATACTGCATTGAAAAATATTGTCCTTTTGTACAGGTACTACTTTTGTATGTAGAAGTAGATGTCATAATTCCACCCACAGTCTATTTTAATGGTTTTATTACTAGTTTGTTATTACAGTATATATCAGAATTATCATTTAAGGTTTTATGTCGTGATGCATTGGATGATGACCAACAGAAAGAATCGTGATGATCATTAGCTGTAGTTGCAGTAGTGTATTAGCTTATGAATATTATCATGGACTTCTTTCATGCATTTTTATATTTCAACACCTTTTGATTTTAAATAAAGTGTGTGTGTATACTCAGCTCCTATGATTTGCCTTAATTTTATACTGTATATGATATATCATAACCAAGTTCTCGTTAGTTTTAATAATGTAAAAAAAAAAGTAGATAACCAACTTTCCCAGAAAGTAGATATTTCCCATTTTCTATGATACAAATTTCCCGTTTTCTATGATAAGTAGATAACCAACTTTCCCAGAAAGTAGATATTTCCCATTTTCTGTAATACAAATTTCCCGTTTTCTATGATAATCTACTTTGGAAAATTAGGTAATATTTACCAAAAAGTCGATAATCTACTTCCCCAAAAAGTCGATAATCTACTTTCCAGAAAAGTAGATAATTTACTTTCTGGGAAAGTAGATAACCAACTTTCCCGGAAAGTAGATATTTCCCATTTTCTATGATACAAATTTCCCGTTTTCTATGATAAGTAGATAACCAACTTTCCCAGAAAGTAGATATTTCCCATTTTCTGTAATAGAAATTTCCCGTTTTCTATGATAATCTACTTTGGAAAATTAGGTAATATTTACCAAAAAGTCGATAATCTACTTCCCCTAAAAGTCGATAATCTACTTTCCAGAAAAGTAGATAATCTACTTTCTGGAAAAGTAGATAACCAACTTTCCCGGAAAGTAGATATTTCCCATTTTCTATGATACAAATTTCCCGTTTTCTATGATAAGTAGATAACCAACTTTCCCAGAAAGTAGATATTTCCCATTTTCTGTAATAGAAATTTCCCGTTTTCTATGATAATCTACTTTGGAAAATTAGGTAATATTTACCAAAAAGTCGATAATCTACTTCCCTAAAAGTCGATAATCTACTTTCCAGAAAAGTAGATAATCTACTTTCTGGGAAAGTAGATAACCAACTTTCCCGGAAAGTAGATATTTCCCATTTTCTATGATACAAATTTCCCGTTTTCTATGATAAGTAGATAACCAACTTTCCCAGAAAGTAGATATTTCCCATTTTCTGTAATAGAAATTTCCCGTTTTCTATGATAATCTACTTTGGAAAATTAGGTAATATTTACCAAAAAGTCGATAATCTACTTCCACGAAAAGTCGATAATCTACTTTCCGAAAAGTAGATAATCTACTTTTCGGGAAAGTAGATAACCAACTTTCCCGGAAAGTAGATATTTCCCATTTTCTATGATACAAATTTCCCGTTTTCTATGATAAGTAGATAACCAACTTTCCCAGAAAGTAGATATTTCCCATTTTCTGTAATACAAATTTCCCGTTTTCTATGATAATCTACTTTGGAAAATTAGGTAATATTTCCCAAAAAGTCGATAATCTACTTCCCCGAAAAGTCGATAATCTACTTTCCGAAAAGTAGATAATCTACTTTTCGGGAAAGTAGATAACCAACTTTCCCGGAAAGTAGATATTTCCCATTTTCTATGATACAAATTTCCCGTTTTCTATGATAAGTAGATAACCAACTTTCCCAGAAAGTAGATATTTCCCATTTTCTGTAATACAAATTTCCCGTTTTCTATGATAATCTACTTTGGAAAATTAGGTAATATTTACCAAAAAGTCGATAATCTACTTCCCCAAAAAGTCGATAATCTACTTTCCAGAAAAGTAGATAATCTACTTTCTGGGAAAGTAGATAACCAACTTTCCCGGAAAGTAGATATTTCCCATTTTCTATGATACAAATTTCCCGTTTTCTATGATAAGTAGATAACCAACTTTCCCAGAAAGTAGATATTTCCCATTTTCTGTAATACAAATTTCCCGTTTTCTATGATAATCTACTTTGGAAAATTAGGTAATATTTACCAAAAAGTCGATAATCTACTTCCCCTAAAAGTCGATAATCTACTTTCCAGAAAAGTAGATAATCTACTTTCTGGAAAGTAGATAACCAACTTTCCCGGAAAGTAGATATTTCCCATTTTCTATGATACAAATTTCCCGTTTTCTATGATAAGTAGATAACCAACTTTCCCAGAAAGTAGATATTTCCCATTTTCTGTAATAGAAATTTCCCGTTTTCTATGATAATCTACTTTGGAAAATTAGGTAATATTTACCAAAAAGTCGATAATCTACTTCCCCGAAAAGTCGATAATCTACTTTCCAGAAAAGTAGATAATCTACTTTCTGGGAAAGTAGATAACCAACTTTCCCGGAAAGTAGATATTTCCCATTTTCTATGATACAAATTTCCCGTTTTCTATGATAAGTAGATAACCAACTTTCCCAGAAAGTAGATATTTCCCATTTTCTGTAATACAAATTTCCCGTTTTCTATGATAATCTACTTTGGAAAATTAGGTAATATTTACCAAAAAGTCGATAATCTACTTCCCCGAAAAGTCGATAATCTACTTTCCAGAAAAGTAGATAATCTACTTTCTGGGAAAGTAGATAACCAACTTTCCCGGAAAGTAGATATTTCCCATTTTCTATAATACAAATTTCCCGTTTTCTATGATAAGTAGATAACCAACTTTCCCAGAAAGTAGATATTTCCCATTTTCTGTAATACAAATTTCCCGTTTTCTATGATAATCTACTTTGGAAAATTAGGTAATATTTACCAAAAAGTCGATAATCTACTTCCCCAAAAAGTCGATAATCTACTTTCCAGAAAAGTAGATAATCTACTTTCTGGGAAAGTAGATAACCAACTTTCCCGGAAAGTAGATATTTCCCATTTTCTATGATACAAATTTCCCATTTTCTATGATAATCTACTTTGGAAAATAGGTAATATTTACCAAAAAGTCGATAAACTACATTACTTCCCAGGAAAGTAGATAACCAACTTTCCCGGTAAGTAGATATTTCCCATTTTCAATGATACAAATTTCCCGTTTTCTATGATAATCTATTTCGGAAAATTAGGTAATATTTCGCAAAAAGTTGATAATCTATCTTACTAAGGTGACTTAATTTGGGGGCAAGGTGAAAATAGTTCTAAGTACATGAATGGCTGTATTTTGACTGGAAATAAAGAAACTTTCAGGAGTTACTTTTATTTTGTAATACATGTGTTGTGCTCTGGCAGACCAGTCTTGATGAGCACAAGTAGAAAATACATAAAAGCATAAAATTGATGCAGCTTCACTTTATGAAGACTTACATACTCCAATTAATCAAATAATGTTTTAAGACCATCACATGTGACAGTACAGCATTACTTTATGGCAAGATTGCTGTCAACGTAACATTTTGAAGTTGAACTGAATTCAAATAAAATTCCACATATATTTGTAATATTTCCTGGCTTTTCTAGCTCAGTAAACACCCTATTAGCCTATATTTATAAAAATGTATATAAAGGCCATTTAAAACTACGAGGTCAGAACGTAACCTACTAAAATAATTTCAAAGGCAATTAATTAACACTAATTACTCATTACTCTTAATTTTTAAATTGTGAACCCAGATCATTAATCTACACTAGTAAACAAACGACCATGAGACTAGCCCGGACCATAAGTTGTAACTGCAGAAAGAGTTTGGTTTCTAATGTGGTGCAGCAAGAGTCCCGTTTGCCTGAAGACACTCTCACGGTTGTTGTGTCCTGCATCTTCATATCGCCGTCCTGGAATGATTAATATTTTAACAACTGAACTAAAAAATTAAGTAGTCAATGTTGTTTTTGTACACCTACACTATACAGCACTCTTGGAACACCACAGTTCTTGAACAGATGGGCACAACTCAATGGTTGGCAGGTCTGCTTGTGAAGCTACTCCATATTTCATATGTTTATAGTATTTACAGGTGAAGTAGTAATTAAATTAACAATAAAACTACCTCGGCAATTTTCACATTAGTTTCGTTGTTGTGTTTGAAACTACACACACACACACACCGTCTACACACCGTGTGTGTGTGTGTATTATTTAAAAAAATTATTTACAGTACAATAGTTAAGAGTAATTTAATTGCCACAAGAGAGTAGTTCCGCAGAACAACAAGCGTCATCTGTAGAACAGTGAGTGGTGACCTTATGATCACATTCGCAGAATGGGGACAGGCCCAACATGTATGGAATACGTTTTAATGAAATAAACGGCATTCAAGTCTGTACAGGTAGAATCATATACGGAAGATAAATTGGTGTTGGGAGTAAGAATCCGGGAAAAAAGTCCCAAGAAAAAAGTCACAAAAAAGGCCCGGAAAACCTAACCTAACCTAACTTAACGTAACCTACGTGCAATACTATCATATATATATACTGTGTATTGTGTTGTCAATGTGTACAAATCATGTGAGCAGTCGTGTATCTACATTAGTAGAGCTGGACTGACAGAATGGGTGAAAAGAAAACCATTGGCAAAATGATGGATGGAAAGGCTGCTTACTATCTCGGGTACCAGACGGGGCGACAGTACTCCAGGTGGGGAAGCACCTCACTCTTGAAGATCGACCTTCTTATAAGACGTACTAGTTTAATTGCTTGATTCACCGTCTTCTCACAATGGCCCGAGAACTTCAGTTCATTGTCAACATACACACCCAGGTCTTTTTTGCATTCGGTCTCTATTAATGCAGTTTCTTCGTTCTATTGGGACATATGATAAGTCTCCTTACCGTTGGTACGACCCAGGTGCATCCTCTTACACTTCGTGACATTGAATCTTAGCAGCCATTTCTTCGATCACTCTTGAAGCTCACAGAGATCTTTCTGCAGCTCTCCACAGTCTGCTTGGTTCTTAATTTCCCTGAATAACTCGGCATCATCCGCAAGCATTTGAATGGATGAGTGTATAGCTTCCGGCATGTCATTTATGAAACAAACAAACAACAATGGGCCCAGTACACTGCCCTGTGGTACCCTGTTTGCCCATGACGATTTTGTACCATTAGTCACCACACACTGCTTGCGATCATGCAGTCACGCTAGAACACTTCCCCAAATCTTGTACCCTTCCAGTTTAATTTTCAGCCTTTCATGGGTACGCTGTCGAAAGCCTTGGCAAAAATCTAGGTATATATCGTTGATATTGCCACCCTGTTCCAGAATTTGCGTCCAAACACCCAGTACCTTGAGTAACTGTGTTAAGTGGGAGTATCCCGGCATAAGACCATGTTGGCAATCCTTTACAAAGTTGTTTAATGGTAGATGTTCCATCATGGCATCTCGTATAATGTTCTCCAGTACTTGACACACAGTGCTGGTCAGGCTCACTGGTCTATAATTATTAGTGAAGGGACGATCGCCCTTCTTCAATATAAGACTCACATAAGCCATTTCCAGTCACTGGGGACCTTTTGCTCATCAAGACATTTACAGAATATGATCTTCAGGGGCTCAGCAAGTTCGTTGCACACCTCCCTTAGCACTCTGGGATGCACCTTGTCAGGTCTGGGACTCTTATAAACCGTTAGCTTTGACAATTATTTTTTATACCCTCGTCTGAAAACACAATGTGAGTATATTTTGATTGAAAAATTACTAAGGTGTAAGCCTTACTTTTTCGGCAGTTTTGGCCCAAAATTAGATTGTGTTGAAAATAACATTATAGGTACTCTTGAGCATGCTTATTTCGAATATAAGGTTCACAATTCGATTGCGGGTAATTAGTGGTCGCAATGATGTTTGGAATATTTAATGGTGTGTTTTAATGCTAATTACTGGCCAACTATGGATTTCCAAAGCGCGATTTTGGTGTTAACGTGTTATTCTGTATGTACGTAATTCGTTAAACCCCTTAAATTTCACTTCTGAGAGGAAAGTATATTTTGTTTGAAAAATTACTAAGGTGTAAGGCATTGTGAGACTTACATTTTTGGTAGTTCTAGGTGTCCTAACACACTACACACACTCTATAGCATGGGCTTCATGGGGTCCGTGAAGGTCAGATAAAAATTTTACATTTATATTCACTATACTTTGTGTATGTCATACACTGTATGAGGCAATGAATTTTCAATAAAATAAAGTATATTCATTGCATGCAAAGTTGTGTTTATGTGCTTATGTGCATTTTTCTAAGGAGGGGGTCCATAGCTTTCACCAGATTCTCAAAGGGGTCCGTGACTCAAAAAAGGTTAAGAACCACTGCTCTATAGCAACGGCGACACGCGTTCTAGGAATCTTAACACACCCCACACACTCTATAGCAGCCACAACACACCTTCTGGGAGTCCTAACAAAGCCCATACGCTTTACAGCAATCACGACACACCTTCTGGGAGTCCTAACACATCCCACACACTATATAACAGCCACAAAAAAACCTTCGGGGTGTCCTAACACACCCCACACACTCTATAACAGCCACAAAAAACCTTCTGGGAGTCCTAACACACCCCACACACTCTATAACAGCCACAAAAAACCTTCTGGGAGTCCTAACACACCCCACACACTCTATAGCAGCCACAACGCCTTCTGGGAGTCCTAACACACTCCACATCACTCTACAGCAACTACAATCAACCTTCGGGGTGTCCTAACACACCCCACACACTCTATAGCAGCCACAACACACCTTCTGGGAGTCTTAACACACTCCACACACTCTACAGCAACTACAATCAACCTTCGGGGTGTCCTAACACACCCCACACACTCTATAACAGCCACAAAAAACCTTCTGGGAGTCCTAACACACCCCACACACTCTACAGCAGCCACGACACACCTTCTGGGAATTATAACACACTCTACACACTCTATAGAAGCCACGACACACCTTCTGGGAATTATAACACACTCTACAGCAGCCACAACACACCTTCGGGGTGTCCTAACACACCCCACACACTCTATAACAGCCACAAAAAACCTTCTGGGAGTCCTAACACACCCCACACACCCTATAGTAACCACGACACACCTTCTGGGAATCCTAACACACTCCACACACTCTACAGCAACTACGACACACCTTCTGGGAGTTCTAACACACCCCACACACTCTATAATAGCCATGACACACTTTCTGAGAGTTCTAACACACCCCCACACTCTATTGTAGCCATAAAACACCTTCTGGGTTTCCTAACACACTCCACACACTCTATAATAACCACGACACACCTTCTGGGAGACCTAACATGCTACACACACTTCATAGCAGCCACGACACACCTTCTGGGTTTCCTAACACACCCCACACACTCAATAGCAACCACGACACAGCCGAGAGTGTTGTAGGTGGAGGAAGGTAGATGTGGCAGGGGTTTTGTAGGTGGAGGCAGGCAAGCGTGGAAGGGATATTGCTGGTGTGGGCTGGACAACAGTACCGGGCAGTCAGTCTGCGTGTTGCTTCTAGGAAGAGATGAATGGCGTGCAGGTAATAGAGACATTAGTGGCCGTCCCAGCCTTCGGCCAAAATACTCAGCTCCACCTCAACTTCGACTACGACAATGGAGTTCATTTTACCCCTCCTTATACCCCATTTCTCCACGTTATTATCCTTGTTTAAGTGTATCTCTCTGTAGCATGTAAGGCCGAGTGCTGTTGTCATCACTATTTAACTCAAACACAGGTGCTGGACAGACGAACTTTGTAAGGCTAGCTAGCCCGGTATATTTGTCTATTTTGAGTTAAGCAAGAAGTAGCCTTGAAAGTTTGTAAGTTTAAACTAAATGAAGGCTGGCCCGAGCAGGTACTGAGAGTGTTGCCTGGCATCTTAATTACCCGAGCTAAGTGAAGCGGCAGCATCGTCGACAGCCCACAGTCACCCACTAATGAAACCAGATGTATCAACACGTTACCCATCTACCCCCGCCCCACCACATACTGATGCTCGAGTCAACACACTCTACACTTACCTGCGCTGGCAATTGTCATTATTTCTCTTTAACTATGTCGTGAAATACACACAATAAAATTAGTCATACTAGTAGTGAAGGAAAATATTGCTTAACCTGGAGGCCTTTTGGTTGATTAAGAGATCAAGGTGGAGAGTTGGGGGGTGAGAGGGGGGAGTGAGTGAGTTAGCGTGGTGTTGGTGATGATTGAGATGTTGGTGGTGGTGGGGGCTAGCCTTCACTCCCTCCCCCTCACCATCCCCCGCCCCCGGCACAACACACGCCACCCTCCCATCCTTAACCAGACGCTTCCACCAAAAACTAATTCACCACAGAACGATTTCTTGACACTTCTTGTATTCATCAGGACGGTCTTACATTATACTAAGGCGTCGAGGGAAGAGTGAGGCTGGGGGGTGATTGCTGTGCTGGTGTGTGTGTGTCTGTGTGAGAGAGAGTTGCAGGTATCGTACATCAGTCACGCTCACCTTACCTTAGCCTTAAGAGAAGCTACAGGTGCGACCCTCCCCACCTCCTACACACCCTCCCTCCTCCTACCCTCCCTACCTGTCAAATACCCTCCCTCCTCCTACTCTCCCATCCTACCTAACATCCCCCCCCCTGCTTCCCTCCCTACCTGCCACATGCCGTACCCGTCTCTTCCTCTCTCTTGTTGCTTCGCACTCTCCATTACTCCCTGCTTCACAATCTCTCTTTCCCTTCTTTCTCACCTGTCACATTCTCCCCCCTCCCTCCCTACCACGCAATATCCCTTCCTCCAGTTTCTTTAGTCACACAACTTCCCTCCCTCTTTCCTTTTCCTTCTCCGTTTCT